GAAGACGGAGGTTATGAAAATAACCAACCAACAACAGCAGCAACATCCAGTGCCAATCACCATCAACGGGAGGGATTTGAAAGAGGTTACTTCATTCACTTATCTGGGGAGCATTGTCTCAACCACAGGAGGAACGGACGAGGATGTCAAATCGAGAATCGGGAAAGCGAGAAACACATTCATCAACCTGAAACCAATCTGGAAATCTTCGTCACTCACCATCAACAACAAAATTCGGATTTTCAATACAAACGTGAAGTCAATTTTGCTTTACGGATCAGAAACTTGGCGGGTCACCAAGAATATTTTCAACAGGTTGCAGACCTTTATCAACAACTGTCTTCGCTCCATACTGAAGATTAGATGGCCAGAAAGAATCACAAATAAGAAGCTATGGGAACAAATAAAACAGGAACCAATCGCCCAACAAATATGCAGGAGAAAGTGGAGATGGATTGGACACTCGCTGAGGAGGCCGTTGAGTGACATCGCGCGTCAAGCCCTCGAGTGGAACCCGAAAGGAAAGCGGCGAGTGGGACGTCAGTGGAAGGGTGACATGGAGGAGATCGTGTGAGGAGGAGATGAAACAGTATGGAATAACATGGACGCAAGTGAAAAGTACAGCACAAGACAGAAGCAAGTGGAGACGTGCAGTTGAAGCCCTATGTTCCACTAGGAACCCAAGGGAACAATAATAATAATATAATCACGTAGATTTTCGGTGGAAGAGAACCTACTTAGGTTATTTGTTGCAGCCAGTTATTCAATAATCCCAAAGTAACAAGAGTCTCTGACAGATTGATCACATGTTAGATGGTCAGAAGCGATCAGAAGGAACTCCTGATTTCAGGTTCTGTCCTTGTTCATTCATACCAACAAGATGCCTCTACAACATCAGAGGAGTTAATGCGCCTGCGGAGATTTGAATTCTCTCTGTCTACTGCCGCAATTTGATACTTTGCCTTTAAGGTAATCGGGCTGAGAATGACCGAGAATTAAAGCAGTTGGAACTAATTTCCTTTTTATGACACTATCCTTATGCTTATGTTTAAAAATAATATCCCTCTTTGTGTCATTAAAAATTTCTAGTGTTCTGATGATGAGTGTACTTCAACTAAAGAAATTGTACTGACTGGCGACAGATTATTCTTCTTTGCCAATTCAACAAGATATGTTGATGAAGGACGTTTCCGTTGTCAAGTTAGTCTGCAACTCAAAGAATACAATTTCAAACTTGTTGAACATCAAGATGTGATAATAAAGCGTCAAGGTAAGTCTGTACGCTCTACCATCCATTTAAAGCCTACTTTTTTATGAAACTAATTTCAAAACTGTATAACACTTTTAATTAGATAGTTTCGGTTTTATGACATGACCCGCTGCATCACTCAATTATGTAACTACGTGGATTTAGGAGTGAAGGTACATAAATGTACATTTCTTCACAGTTCTTCTAGAAAAGTGTGTCAACCGAGATGGTTTTTACACCTATGTGACAACCAAAGGTATTTTTCAAAGTTGTCAGATATAATACATTAGATGGTATCATAAAAATAAAACAAGACGGGATGTTAGACACAAATTTTTCAGAAAACCCACATATTCAACCTGTTATTTTGATTCCGCGCCATCCCACCCTAAGCCAGTAAAAACAGGACTGGTGAAATTTTTAAGTAATAGAGTAAAACAGCTATGTAGTACCAAAGGAAATCTTAGACAGGAAGTAAGGCACATAGGAGAAGTTTTGAAATCTAATAATTACCTCAATAAATTAATTAAAACAGTATATGTATATATATTTTGATTTTTGATTATAGCTTGATTTTACACCGTATATTTTGATACAGGTATGGAATTTTCAGCATGTGATATCGGTAGCCCAAATTTTGCATGCCGACCATAGATATCACATGTGTGTCGTCAGGATATTGAACTCCAGACCGTGTGCATGGTCGGCGAGAGTCTTAACCGCTGTGCCACTGTAAGGATTAAATTGACTATCGTAACAAGGACAGAATGGATGACAAACGTACACAAACAGAGTACAAAACCAAAAAGCGGGGAATTCAGACAGAAGCCCTGAAACTTTACGTAAATTTCCTAGTACAGTAGGAATAAATGTGGCATTTATACCTAAAGACTCACTTGTAAACAAACTATGTCGGTTAAAGGATCCTGCAGAGTCTGTTAGACAAAAAAGTTTAGTTTATCTAAAAGAAAAAACAAAGATTTCAGCGAGGAAAATTCTTTGAAACAATTAGTTCCTTTTATGAATTTAGTTAGACAAAGCAATAAGAAGACGTAATTTGTCTGAATCATGTAATGCATTTGCGTGCAACAAATTTCAAACAATCTGATCGCATACGGGGTTATCATAGAAATATCCACATATATGAAAGTAATGAAGAGCTAAAGGGTTGCGAAAATGAACTTAGGTCAAGTTAAAATGACATATTGAAGGTCAAAATAATAATAATAATCACTTTATTCCACAACAATAACAATTTACAGCATGGAATTTTCAGCGTTTCTTTAACATATTGCAATGGTTTCGCTATGTTTTTAATTATATAAATGTATAAAATGTTAAAAAATTGATAGCTAATAGGAAAAATAAAAACCCCAACATAATCACACCGTTTCTAGGTCATAGTGAATAATGAATAAATAATATAACAAATAACACATGCCTTAATATGCACCATTACACTTTATAGTTTAGTTAATGATTTAAAAGTTGTAAAAGTTCTTTTCTTATATTTGTCTCTTCACACAATACTCGTGCTAAGTATGGTACGGTCGAATTTTTATATTTTGTAGTACGAGCATAAATGTTTATGAAATTTCTTCTGATCTTAGCCGAAGAGATACAAGGAAACAGTCGTGAATAAAGAGGATGTTCACTATCAGACAAGATAACTTTAGCTAATTGTTTACAAGAATTCATATGCCTATTGACAACAGTGTCGGTTAGTTGAGTGAAAGGGATAGCACTGACCCTACTTACAGCCTTCAATGTTCTTCGTAGTATTATATGGTCTTTCTTGAGTAGCCCAGGGGAGAATAATGGAGAACAATAAAGAATGATAGGCAAAACACATGAATTAATAAATTGTATGAGAAGAGATTGGGTTATAACTGAGTGCTTCAACTTCTTTATGTAATAAGTTAGACGGAAAACTTGCTTAGAAACTATAAGAATATGAGACGACCAGCAAAGGTTTGAAGAGAAACTAATGCCAAGGTAAGAAACACTTGACATACTCTCTATCATGGTACCATCAATATTACAACAATCATGAGATTGGATCAATCCATGCATGTCTTTCTTCACTTCTCAAGCTGAAATCAACAGTATTACATTTAGTTGGATTTAGTTTAAGACCATTTGAGCCAGACCAATCCTTAACTTCAGCTAAGAAGCCATTCATATGGGAACAATCCGATGTGGAAACTACAGGGACGGAAACGGTCAGATCATCAGCATACTTAATGAAGTTAACTTTGGGTGAGTTCGGAAGGTCATGCAAAAAGAAAGAGAAAAGAAATGGAGAAAGTACTGCACCTTGAGGCACACCACTTTCAGTTAGCTGAGAAGTGGAGCGCTTTCCAGCCAAAACAGTATGCTGTTTCCTATCCTTAAAATAAGAAGACAGCCATCTAGTTGACCAGGACTCTGTTTGTGTTGAAATCATCTTTCCTAATAATAATAATAACTATGAAGATCACTAAACCAAACGAGGGAGATGATAGTACATCAAGTCAAAGTTGACCAAAGAAGGTTTAGTGTGATGACGAATTGTTGCTTTGAACGCATGAAGGGGGTTTAAACTTTCTAACTGCCAGCTAGGGTTACCACGAAATTTAGGATTCGCACTCATCCAATCACCTTTTATAGATAGGTTTAAAAGATGTGTAAACATCAATTTCATATTCTTTCTCTATAATATGTTTCGCAGTAGAAGAGCTAGGTCTCCCGTCCTCACCATTAATGGGTTCTGAAGATTTCATTGGCTTCTGAAGCCATTTAGGAATATGATCTGAAGCCAGCCCTTACTTTCATAGATCGATGTGTCCTCCCTATGTATGTGTGTCCACAGGTACATTCAAATAGGTAAATACAGTGGGATATAACGTCATTTTTCGCATGTTCGAAGGGCTTAGATGGATATATTGGCTTTACATTGTCTATTATTATGACATTGGCTGCATAAAAAGTTTTTTAACGGCAGCGTTCAGTCTCTGTCTAGTTATCAAGCTGCTATGATGCCCCATATAAAGGGTAGCTTGATGTACACGTCTTTCTTGTTGAGGAGTTGCAGAGTGGGTCATGGTGTTCTGACAACTTTATATCTCCTGATGAACTTGTCTGGATAATTGTTATCAACCAGAGTTTGTGTCAACTTTCTTCCTTCCTCATCAAGTATATCTTCAATGCACAGTCGCTGGATTCTACAGAAGAGTTATTGGTGTGGTTGTGTTCACGTTCAAGGTTAGCAGAAGGAATGACTAACGACATTCAGACCAAAGAAGCAGCCAGCACCGAGACAAGCAAACTAGGGGGTGAAATGTCACACGAAAACAACCAATCACGTTCAGGGTCACTAGAAGAGATGACTAATAAACTCATAGAGAATTCTAAAAGCTCACTTCACATCGAAGTATGCGCTGAAGATGTTGCTCAGTAGAGCAATGAAAGCTTCGCAACCAAACCATCCAGCTCAGAGAACACAACCACACCAAAATCATCCACCTGAGCTACAAATCTTCTCTATTATATCTACAGAAGAGTTACCTAACTAAGGCTCTTTTGTACAGAACAGGGCAGACACTGTGATAATTAAGATAATGTACTGTCCAGTTAGGTTTGGAGAGTATCCTAAAGTTTGTGGAATCCCTAGCTCCACACAGCCAAAAAATAGGATGGGTCAAAATTACAGTTTTTTAGAAGCTAACATAACAATGTGGACATGGAGGTCGATAACTGGAGCTTTATTTGATGAATCAACTGAGAATGCATGTAATAGGAATGATTCAACACCAGTCACGGATATTCGGAAAATTCTGCTACTCCTACAATCCCGTGTAGAGTTGTAGGTTCGTACTGACGAAGAGTCTCCAATTAGGACGAAACAGCTGTCAAGTGCTCCTTCGTTTTCGCTCACGAATAAATCTACATTGAAATAATCCAAATCCCAGCATAACTCATAATCTAATTATTTATTTATTTATTGTATTTTGTTGAACAGCTGTTCCAGCAATCTTTAGCAGTGGATCAATCACATATACAACTAATGATGAAATGTCATTACAGTGTACTGATGAATCATCTTCACCTGAATCAAGAGTGGAGTGGATGTTTGAACCTGCTGGAAAACCACCACCAGAACGTAGATTACCAAAAGTTATTGGAAATACTTATGCCTATGGAAGAATTTATATATTTGCGTAAGTTTCTTAACTATAATCCAATGTGCTTCAGGTATTATGAAAGTGTTATACACCCGGAATATTGCCTTATTTTTGCCTGATGTTAGCGTATAACTTAGAAGAACTTCATTAGTCTGTTTCCTCCGTTTCTTAGTGCTCTTTGATTTTCCCGCTCTTTTTGAAAACTGGGCTCCTATTGGTTATTAATTCATCAGACTTATCATTATGTTTAGCTACACAGATGATGCTGTCTGTCAAGGCCAGGCAGAATCGGAAAAGCAAGTCTTAGCTTCCCTAATTTGAAATTATTCTGGAAATGTACTGATTCGTTTTATTTTCATTCCTTTACGTTCCCTGTGAAACATAGGGGGATTCAAGCTAGAGGCTTGAAGTTTCAGTAGCAGTGATATCTATTTTTACGGGTTGGGGTTACTAGACTCCTGCCTCACCTTCCCTCTTTACCAGTTTTATTACTGGCTTAGCAAGGTAAAGGAGTGCATCGACCAGGGATCGAACCCCGAACCACGTGAGGCGTGGCTGGCGAGCATTCTACAGCTGCGCCTCTGACTCACGGAAATTTATTACGCTTATCAAAAAGAACAAAATCCGAGTTTTTAGCACCATTGTCATATTCGTCAATGATTCTATGTGATTTGGAGACTTGATGTGTGATAACAGACTGCAAGCTCTCATCAACAGAAGCTTCTCCTCCATACTGGAGACCAAATGGTCGACAAAAAAGCTTAAGCAACAAGGTACTGTGCCGGGAAAGGATCCAACCAAAAACCTATCACCTAACAAGTGTGTAGAAAGAAACAGTGATGCATGGGATAAATACTGATAAAATCAGAAGGTGACATCAGCAGCCAAGCCCCAGGGTGTAACCAGAATGCGAAAAAAACGAGTTAGGCGTGAGTCCAAGGTGATAAAAAGAGGGGATAAAAGCTTATAGGCAGTTGTGGAATCTCCAGAGAAGAGACTAAAGTGACGATGTACCTTTGAAACCCCGTATTTCACTCGAGGCCAAAAGGAATCATAGTAATAATACATACTAGTGACGCCGAATTTGAGCTTTAAAAATGATTCTGTTTATGAACATCGCTACAGAGAACAGAAATGTTTTGAACAGGAATGAGTTGAAGAATTTATAATGAATATGAATAAAGCAAGAACAACAGTGGTTTTTGCAGAATAAAATGGTACCATCATTGTTTATTTCGTTGACTTCTCATCAGCTGGCTGCTTACAGGCTAAAGTCATTAATAAATATATCTACAGAAACAATTTCAACATACTTGCACAGACGTTCATTTTTAAACAAAAATCAATCAATCAATATATACATACAATAATATATATAATAAACACTTTATCCCGAACAATAATGATCATACACAATGGAGACTTTCGACATTACGTAATCAGATGAAAGAGAGGTGAAAATATCCAGTTACCAGGCAGGGCAAAGAAAGACTGATAACTGCTTCTTTCTGAACACATAAATCAGGTTCCAGGCGCTTGATGGAGATTGCTTCAGCAAACTTGAGGAGAATTGAACTCTTTTGCCTATTGATAATTTCGATGAACGATCTTGCAACGTCCACCTCATGACCTATGTCAAGGAGATGCCTGGCAATGGCACTATTTAACGCATTTTTTCCCTTTAGACATAAGCTTTTTGGTACATGTTCAGAAAATAATAGATATGCCCTTCTTCTTTCTGTTCTTCCAATGTAACTTCTGTCGCAGATACATGTAAATTTGTATATACAGGAATTTAAGGGAGAATAATCCAAATTTTGTGGATTGTAAAGTTCATAAAGAGTGAATGGATGTGTGTGTGTGACACTGACAACGACTTTTAGGTAATACACTAACAACCTCTAGTCATTAGTTCTTAGAATCTTCAGTAAACATTTTCTTGACAGAAGATATATGAAAAATTATATCCGATGAATATGAACACTCTTCATTTGAGTTTGTATAGGAAATGAATAAATTCAACTTTTCTTATTTTTTAAACAAAAAACTTTTATTTTATGTGTTTTTTATAGGATTGCAAGAGGTCAACTTATCCCTGAACATTCTGGAAAGTACACGTGTATAGCAACTAATCCTTATGGAACAGCTAATAGTTCTATTACTGTAACAGTAACTGAGGATCTTTCTCGTGGAAAACTTCGAGTAAGTCTTATATTCAGGTTATATATATATATAAGACAAGTGGCATTTCTAGCGATTATGGCATACTGTGGTGTTTGAAGCACATTACAATGAATAAACGAGTTGTCGTCTTGTAACAACAGAAGACAAGGGCCAGGCAACAGGTCGTTTATTAAGGAAATCAACACATATTTATAGATTTTCATGTACATTATTATAGATTATTGTTAGCAGAAAACACAGTCTTCTGATTGGTTGTTTCTCACTGAAAGTTAATCTTTCATCTCTTTGTGGCTGTTTCTTGAATGTCAGATCATCTATCTGCTAATTGTATCCGCCTACGCAAAGTCTTTGTTCTTATTTTTCTCACGACCAATATTTGGGACATAAACCTTGACGTAAATTAATGTCTACCAATTTGGCTAGCAGTCAGCTGGCACCACACTCGTCCCCCCGTCAAAGACTTGCCACTGAAGTTGGTTCGGTCTTCTTGGTTCTTGGGGCTTTGCTCTTTTGTCTTGCTGTCTGGAATCTCGGCGCTCGCTGATGTTCACCTGTTTCTCTTTGTTTACCATTGCGATTGTGTCTGCATAACCCCATCTCAAAGTGACCATATGTGATCCTTCCCACTTTGGAAACTGTTTGCCTGACCCTGTCGCACATTCGTAGGTATTTCGTCTCACATTTTAATATGCTGCTTTCTCCCGACCTCCCAGCAGCGTCCCAAGTAGCAGCTTCATCGCTGACAGATCTTGAACGCCACTCAGCTGCGAAGAAGCCTCGAAGTCCTGCCCGAAGATCCATATGTCTCCATCAAAAACTGCAAGGCATAGGCTTTCCATTTGTCGGTAGGCAGCGACACCAAATGTAACAACAGAAGACAAGGGCCAGGCAACAGATCGTTTATTAAGGAAAATCAACACATATTTATAGATTTTCATGTACATTATTATAGATTATTGTTAGCAGAAAAACACAGTCTTCTGATTGGTTGTTTCTCACTGAAAGTTAACATTTCATCTCTTTGAGGCTGTTTCTTGAATGTCGAATCATCTATCTGCCAATTGTGTCCACCTACGCAAAGTCTGCTGTGATTGTTTGTTGAATCAGCCTTTGTTATTATTTTTCTCACGACCAATATTGGGGACGTACAGATTGACGTAAATTACTGTCTACCAATTTGGCTAGCAGCCAGCTCTCACCACAGTCTGACTGTTGCACACAGATAAATGATATGCGAGGTAGCTAACGCAGGGTGTTATCCTATGGCGAAGGAAGGGACAAGCGATTGATGTGTTTCACCTCTATGCGTAATCCGTCACTTCACTTGAAATCGTATAAATCCCAGCAAATCAGTACTTGAGAATGAATGTAATACTCACTAGTAACTGACTATTGGATGGATGAAGTTGCTAGGAGTTCTGCTGATAAGTCATAACCCGATTGGATGTGGGGACACATACCCACCAGTGATATTGATTAGGAGTGGGGCTATACATACCATCAACTAACAGAATTCATGGGGTAACCTAATTTTAGAATAGAAATGGTGATAACTTCCCTGATCTAGGAAGCATCGTTTCAACCACAGGCACATGGCACGGATGAAGATGTCAAAGCCAGCCAGTCAGAATCGGGAAGCCAGGATACAGCTTCATCAATCTGAAGTCAGTTTTTGGAAATCTTCTGCACTACCCCTCAGCATGCAGAACAAGATTCAAATTTTCAAAACAACCAATGTGAAGTCAGTCAATTCTTCTATATGGGCCAAAAACTTGCACTGTGTGTCACGAAAAGCCTTTCCAACAAGTTGCAAACTTTCATCAACAGCTGCGTTCGCTGACTCCATACTGAAGATGAAATGGCCAGCCAGTCTGCCGGCCAGAGATAATCAGCAACAAGAAACTCTGGCTGGGAATAAACCACCCAAGAGCCGATTGCTCAACAAATATGCAGGAGAAAATGGAGATGGATTGATCGGGTATACGTTGAGGAGGTCATCGAATGACATCACGCTCAATGCAGACCATTACTCGAGTGGAATCCCAATGGAAAATGACGAGTGGGTCGTTGGTGTAAGAGTGCCATGGATGAGATCATGTGAGTTGGAGGAGCCAGTGGAGCTAGCCAGTCGAAGAAGACAGCAGAAAATTTAAATAAAGTGGAGATGTGTTGTTGAAGCCGTATGTTCCACTCGGAACCCGAGGGAATAATAATAATATTCAACAATAATTTTGCACATGCAATTATTAGCCACTTCCATGTGTATACGTCAGTTCTTCTGCTCATGTCAAGTTACTTGTGAAGACCATATGCGATATTGTTGGTAATGGAAGCATCCACCATGGTTTGGTAATATCAAAACAAATGCTAATTTCTTCATCAGCACTTATTTTACGTTCTTCAACGACGTTTTATGTGGTCGAACGTAGTCTTTCTCAGAAGCTAATTGTAATAACTTTACATCTCTAACAAATTATATTTTCAACTTGCGTTTCATCACACAAAAATTCGCCTACAGAAGCAACCAGTATCAGCATGTATTGGACAGCTGTTGCGTCCTACTTTGGTATTTTGTAGCAGTATGCATCTGTGAACCAACTGAAGAATAAATCCAGGATTTTCAGGTTACGAATTCAACCCATTGACTATCCGACCACTAGGATGGAATTCTCTAACTCACGGATGCTTTTTTTCTTTCTTTCGTGTTCCGAGTGGACCACAGAGCTTCAGGTTTGGGGTTTGAAGTTTTTAATGTGGTTGTGTTCTCTGAGCTGGATAGTTAATTTGCGAAGCTTTCATTGCCCTACTAGGCAACATCTTCAGCGCATACTTCAATTCTTTGAAGTGAGCTTTTAGATTTCTCCACGAGTTTATTAGTCATCTCTCCTGGTGGGTGAACTTGAGCGTGATTGGTTGTTTTTGTGTGTTTTCACACCCTCTAGGCTACTTGTATTGAAACTGATTGTTTCCTTGACTTGAACTTTGACCTTTTGTGTGTGAGATTTCTTTCTTATCGGTTGATAAATTTTGTCCATCTCGATGTGTCTATTGATTGACGATTCACTGGAATACCAGGCTTCTAAAAATTCTCCAGCATTCTTGGTGTTTCCTCTGTTTAATATTTGAACGTTGGTTGTCCCATTCGAATTGATGTCCGTGGTTGTCTGTATGTAGCGATATGAGGTGATGTCATCATGTCTTTTGACGGCTAGTTTATGTTCATGGATACGGAGACGAAGGGGACGCCCACTTTGGCCAATGTAGTGTTTTTTGCATTTGTTACAATTTATTTTTGTAGATGATGTTGGTTTTATCTTCTTTCGTTGTTGAGTCTTTTGGTTGACACAAGGCTGGCTGAGTGGAGTGATTTTGTTGGTTTGTGTGCGACATCAATTCCTAAAGGTTTGAAGAGTCTTGCAGTGATTTCTAAGATGTCTTTTATAAGTGGTAGGGTGATTTTCTTTGTGCTTTCCTTGGCTTGGGGCTATGTGTCTTTGATGAAATTCCGTGGATATCCATTCTTTTGGAAGACGTCCATGAGATATCTTTCTTCAATTTTCCTTAAGGTGGGAGTGCTGCAATGAGTCTTGGCTGGCTCTCTTGAAGTTTAAGTGGCGATGGTGTTTTTTACGGGATGGAGTTGCTAGCTTCACACTCAACCTAACTTCTTTATTGGGCTGACTACCCGTTAAGTGTGGCAGAGATATGAGTCTCCTGGGAATTGACCCCGGACCAAACGCTTGTTTACCAAGCATTCTACAACTGAACCAAAGACACAACCATGAATTCTGACTTGTAATTCGTGATTTGGCACCGCCACCACGCAATAATGTTGGCGAGTATCTTTCATTGAACCCGACTTGGTTTGCCGAACGACGTCTCACTAGAACTTCGGAAACTCCATCCTGTGGTCAATTACAAGTCTGTGTCAGTGTTGATTTACAGGGATTTTACTGATTTCAAGTCTAGCCACGAATTAATATCATTTCAGGAGCCATTGGAAACTACGAAGGCCTGGACAGTTGTCTTGTTCTATTTTGGAACTAATCAGCGAAAAACACTCATGGTACCACGAGGGATCTAATCCGCTACCTTGAAATTATTAGGCAATCCCGTCGACCGTTTAGCTGCTGAGTTGAAATTCAGTGAACCATGGTGAGGCATAACTTCACCATCATTCTTTGTCATCGGCAAGTATCCGTCATTAAATCTGGGCCCGACTTCATACCAGAACTCCAGGAACTTTATCTTACAGATAGTCACTTATCAACATTAATTAAAGAACCACTGAAAACTATACTTTTCCACTTGTTATACTAATTTAACTGTTTTTTTCTTTTTACCACTTTTTTTCAGTTTGTTCGAAGAATCATTCGTCGTGCCATTGCTACATAGATGAAGCACGCAACCGGTACCACCAAATTTTTGCTTAGTAATAACTAAAGACGCTAAAGTTAGATAGAAGGACTGTTACACTACTACTACTTACTACTATCTATATCATTATCAGTACTATATATCTCTCAATTATAACAATGTTTTTGTCTATTTATGTACTGGGTTTTTATTCCTTTGCATTTTGCTGATGCATAAACACACAAGCGCCTTTACTTGTTTAAGTGTCGTTTTCGTGTTGTTATTCTCTGTGTCTATCTATTAAATGCTTCTAATCGGCTAGCTAAAGACTATTATTACTGCTGTTATTATTATTATTACTATTATTAGTATCGCTATTATTATTATTGTTATTCTACAAATAAATATTCTCTGCTTTCAGTATTGTTAGGATTAAAGAAATTTTTATTCAAATATATAAATCTGTGTTTGTCAATATTCTTCTTCTTTCGCGTTCCGAGTGGAACATAGGGCTGGCTTCAACAACACATCTCCACTTTGTTCCGTTTTCTGCAGTCCTCTTCAGCCGACTAGGTCCACAATTGACCAAACTCTCTCATCTCTTCCTCACACGATCTTCTTCATGTCACCGTAGCATCGACCACCCACTCGTCACTTCCCATTCGGAATCTACTCGAGGGCCTGGTGTGCAATGTCATTCGGTGGCCTCTTCAGTGTATGCCCGATCCACTCCATTTTCTCCTGCATATTTGTTGAGCTATCGGCTCTTGCTTGTTAGTTTGTTCCTGTAGTTTCTTGTCGCTTATTCTGTCTGGCCATTTGATCTTCAGTATGGAGCCAGCGAAGTAGGCAGCTGTTGATGAAAGTCTGCAACAGGCTTTTGGAAATCCTTTTCGTGACACGCGGTGCAAGTTTGTGACCGGTATAGAACCGACTTCACATTGGTGTTGAAAATGCGAATCTTGTTCCCTATGCTGAGTTCGGAAGATTTCCAAACTGGTTTCAGATTGATGAAGGCGTATCTGTGTTATGTTATATAATATATTAGTTTGCTTTTATGTTCATCCCGCCTCACTGAATGTTAGACAACTGAATCTAACTATCTATTGTTGTAAATTTCAGTTGAAATACATCGATTTTACCGGCGTATTAGATGGTTGGAGGTAGTCGGTACGAAGCCTTGGACCTATGTTTCATGCTAGTTGGCACTCACATCAGTTAGTAAGGCGTATCTGCAACCTTGAAGGAACTCATGTCCCTGCTGAGATTCGAACCGGCGTCACCTAGTGAATGCTTCAGTCAGAGAATTTACCACTGAGCCATTCAGGCTGCCTCGTGACTCACCTACTGTAAGACTGTATTAGATACTTTCATTGGACACTAATAACTAGTTTGGCATGTACAGTCCTTTGTTTAGTGCAGACTGAATTCTATCAGTCAGGTGGCCACCATTCAAGGTAGCTTACCATCACGGTGCACTTTGAATTGTTGATGTTGTCTTTGGAGTAGATGTGACATCTGGCTATCGATGAGAGGAGGTGTGTACTGTTCTGCAGTCTGCTATGTCCTTATTTAAGGCTGTGAAACTTGGTCGTTGAGATTAGTAGAAGTATTACTGAGGCTGGCTTTCTTTGACCACAGACGTCTGCGTTAGATTTCCACTGTTATGGTAGATAATATTGAAGTTAGGCACAGAATGATAGATAAGCAGAGAAAAATCAGTCAGTTGGGGGGTGACTAGGCGGTGTGTTACGCATGCTAGGCGAACTCCTTCTACGTAGACTAAAGGTAGCTGACAAATGGATTAAGTTTGTGGTCATATCAAAATATGGCTTCGATATATAAAGTCACTGACTGTATTTTTTCAGCCAGCCATGTAAGCAGGTATAGACTGCCTAACTGGAGTCCTCACGACAATGAAAACGAATGGTTTGTGAATGCTGCTAATGCATTCACTCTTTATAAACTTCCAGTTCCATCTTCTTCAGTCAGTCAGTCAATCAGTCAAGTTGATTTCATGTAAGCCTCGTAGCTGTGGTACACTTATTTAGGTTACAGGTATAAATACTCATTCCCATACGATTCTTCATGTTTACTGCCCCCTGAAATAGAGTATCTAAAGCATTTTAAGGAAGCTCATGTCTTGTTCTAAGTCTAGGTACTTGTCATTTATTACTGATGTCGATAGTTGAAAACTAAACTGCGATGTGGCGGTATGTACTGCTACTAATCTACAACGTTTTATGACGGTGGGTTGTGTCGTGAAATAAAAAAACTTATCATCTATGGATAACTAGACTCCTACCCATTGGCCTAGTGGAAGTCATACGAGTGAACCAAGTGGAATAGAGGTACGCTGTTAAGGCTCAATTTTCCACTTGGTTGGAGCATTTCATCATGAGCTGACATCAGCTAGAGAACCATTGGTGAACCACCAAAGACTACTGGACAGCTATTTCGTCCTAGTACTTGGGACTCTTCAGCAGTACGCATGCATATACACATATATACAGATAAAATTTCAACGGGATTTTAATAGAAAATATTCCTATCCATTTTGTAATCCCCCTTACCATTTCTTCAACTGAAATTATGGACTAATTTTGTTAAAATGCACAAATTAATCCCATTATTTCAATGTACATTGATTGTTACTATGACAACAAGCGAAATTCAATCATAAAAATGTATAGAAAGGAAATGTCTTACTGGTGGTCTCATTTGTGAAAATGTCTTCTAACAGTGACAAATGTTTCTGAGCAAAAGAACTAACTCTTAAACATTTCTCAACTGTTAAGCTGCAATGGAGAAAAAAAGCCTACAGGAGAACAAATTACGCAGTAATTATTATTAACTGGTATAAGTATATATGTATAGCAAGTTGGTTATTCAGTGGTAGAAATCTCGGAGACCACCCGTGTGGTCCGGGCTCGATTCCTGGCCGACACACGACCAGTGAAAAGTAAAAATTACAAAGAAACTCCCCCTAGATACAAAGGAGAAGATTTATAGCTTAGGTGGGTGATTTTAATGTAGTTGTATTCTCGAACCTGGATGGTATAGTTTAGAAGCTTTCATCGTCTTACTAGACAACATCATCAGAGCACACTTCTATTTGAAGTAAGCTTTAAAAATTTTCCATGAGTTCATCAGTAGTCTCTTCCTACAACCCTGAACGTGATTGGTTGTTTTTAAGTGTTTTTTACCCTTCTGGTTCACTTGTATTGGTACGGATTATTTCCACTCTCCTCCTGAGTTGAGGAGAATGGAATAAAAGTATCTTTCGGTCATCTTCCAAAAAGGAGTATCCACAAGATGGCGTCAAAAGACATCTACTCTCGACCCCTACAACCAAATCGAAAGTCATTTAGAAATCTCACTGAGTCGTATGAAAGAAAAAGCGTTCAGTGAAGAGTTACTCTTTTCAGTAATATTACTCCCAAGCTGCACAATCGCTTATATATAGTAAATTTTCTTAGCAGCAAAAAGGGAAATTTCTAAAGGTGTGCCATTAGAATTGTAGATTTCAGATAAATTACATAATGTAGGAAGCGTTAATGGGGTAGGAATTAAAATAAAATTAAATAAGTAAATTGAGTGACGTAATATAATTGATGGGATTGAACAGAATTCAAATAAAATTGATTGAAGGAGAGTGAAGTTAACAACAGTGGTAATAAGGGGTAGAAATTTAATTGCGAGCGAGGGAAGAAAGTTATACAATTAGGAAACCAACAAGCAAAAAATTACGTATCCTGTACTAAGACAGATCACGCCCACTGTAGATTTAATGACTGAATAAACTTCTTTTGTATTCAGAGTTCGGGATTGAATATGTAAATTGCCACTGCTTCTGTGGTTTGCCGAAGTTAAATTCCTACTCTTTTAGCAAGATTCTCACGTAGTCTGTAGATGAATTGGAATTTCTTTCGCAGGTTAGCTTAATCTCCAGATTCCATCAGGTATTCCTGGATAGAGCTGTGGTGAGGAGATCTTTTT